GCTCGCAGCTGATCGTGCAGGTTGCTGAGTTCACAGCCATGGTGCACTTCTGAGAAGTTAGGCGTCAATAAAGAAGGGGACTGCGACAAGAGGAATGGCCAAGTGAGCGCACGCAGGAGAGACCCAAGGCTCTCTAAAACACCGGTTCCAACAGTTCACAATGTCCTCTAGGAGAAAGAAAGTGCCCAACTTCCTGCTTGCCCCACCCCTCCAGGCTGCTAAGCTGGAAAGTGGGACCAATTTGGCCTGGAGGCTGAAGAGTAAACTCTGGGTAGAAAAGAATCTTGGGGCCATACAGAATTGCAGAAGTTGTTAACTGATACCATTAGAAATTGGGGGAATCTTGTGGAAATGGATTTCTGTGGTGCTTCATCAGGCAGGGGGAAGATGTAAGTTTGGACCAGGCTGATCTTCTTAGTATGGATGCACTAACCAGTGATCAGCCTTCTCTGTGCTAGCTCCAGGAACGGGTCTGGCTCTAGCAATTAATTCATGGATTTGGCTAAAGCAAACTTGGGTCAAATGCTGGTCCACCTGAAATGGAACTACAGGGCCCAAGTCCCTTGGCATCATGTAGAGGAAGGGAATGAGAGGTCTCTGAAGACAGGATGCTGAATTGGATCTGTTTTGTGCCTCCTTCCTGTGGCCTCCAGTGAACCCAGCACACTTCCCCCTTGCTTTGAAGAAAGTTGAGATCAAGAGTGCTGCGTGGAGGGCTATGATCTGAAATGGGTTCCCTGAGCTCAGAGGGGAGGAACTCAGGGGATGCCTGCCACTCTGGCCTCCAAAACTAAGTGGGAACAATCATCAGGATATTCCACAGTCTCTGAATGAGACAAGAACTCGCAGTGTCCCATGGCCCTGGAAGGTGAAACCACAGGCAGCCAGTTTAAGCCTTACTTAATTTGTACAATCAACAAAACAGCAGAAATAAAACAACAAAGCAAAACAAACCCCCCCTCTCCAGCTCTGGCAAGACTTGAGCCTCCATGAGTGATAGATCATCCCCTAACACCAGCCTTGAGGGGCTTATGGACCTAGAGCCCTTAGCTCGAAGGCCATCTCTTGAGGAAGGGCTTTGCCAGCACAGAGGGATGCTATAAATGCCAGTTTTAGGCTTGTGACCATCACGGAATGAGGACGAAGCAACAGTGTCTTCCTCCTCACAGTCTCTTCCTTTCCCGCCAGCCTCACATCCAGGGTCTGCCGGTGGCCTGTACACTTGCCATTTATTCCTTATGTCACAGAATACTGAAGAAGGATGAACTCTGGGCTAGAATCAGTAACAGGATATGACCGTGGAGCGTCCCCTTTAGGGAGAGGATCAGTGTGTTTCCAGGCATATGCAAGAGAATTTCCTTATGTTAGAGCAAGTGTAAAATGGGGTACATGGGCGGAAGGTGTGAGTGGGGTGCTGGGCAGCCCAGGGGTGGGATTTAGGGGATGCCTGCCACTCTGGCCTATCAGCAGCCCTCTATTTTATCCAGGTGATGGCGCATAGCCTTTCTTGGGGGGTGACTGCCTTTGCTCCTTGTAAACCCAGTACTCTGCCCTCCATCCCTTCCAAGGAAAAGCTTGGCACCAGGCTGGGCCTCCCCCTCTCCTGGGACTAGATTGTGAGCAGCATGACTCAGGGAAGAAGGGGATTGGAGGTGGACGTCTGGGTGGCAGTGTCTATCTTAGCAGGTCCCCAGGCCTGTTACTGAGGTCCCCAGAGCGCCCCTCATTGTTCTGTTTCCCAAGGCCTTATCAGACGGTGCTCTGTAGAGGGCTGACAGGTGGCCCCAAACGTGTCCCCATCCAAATCTCTGGAAGCTGTGAATGATTCTTTATTTGTGAAAGGGTCTTTTTGGCAAGAGTGATGAAATTAAGGGCCTTGAGATGAAGTCATTTTGGATTATCCCAGTGGACCCTAACAGATGTCCTTAGAGGAGTGAGGCACTGGGAGATTAAACCCACTTAGAGGGTGAGGTGACGTGAGGCCAGAGGCAGAGACTGGAGCCACCACCAAAAGCCAGAAAAGGCAACAAGGGAGTTCACCTCTGGAGCCCCGGAGGGAGTGTGGCCCCACCAACACCCTGATTTTGGATTCCTGGCCTCCAGGACTATAAGAGAATAAAATTCTGCTGTTTTAAGCAGTTGAGTTTGTGGTAATTTGCTGTGGCAGCCACTGGAAACTAATGCACTTTCCAATAGATTCATTTTTTCTTAGTCTGTTTTAGCTGCTTGAAACCAAAGAACTCAAGTTAGATCACTGAAGTAATTTACTCTAATGGATTGCCCTTTTCGACCAAGTTCATTCCTGCTGAGTTCCTGACACTTGCAACCTGTTCTGGCTGACTGAACTCCAGCCAAGGCCTCTGCCAAATCCAAGGCAGGAACCAGGGAATGTGGATTCCAAGTCACTCCACATATTGCCCACCCTCCCCAGTCACTCAGAGGACACACCAGCAAGCCAGCTCTAGACAAGCAGAAACGGGTCCCTGGGCACAGCTCTTTATTTGCATAATGGTTTTCACAGACACACAGAGTGGCTCACAGCTGCTGCGCTCATGTCAGGAACACATAATCTTTGTCCCTGAGGTATCCCCGCACCATCTTCAGGGACTTGTTTGTGGGGTAAGAAAATCTGGAAGCCATCAAATTCTTGGGGTCTTAGGCAAGACCGTAAGGAGCAGTTCATGCAGCTTTCCAACCTCTGTCCCCCAGCCTGAGCATGGCTGGGCCCAGACGCTGAGGCACGTGTGCGGGGGGGGGGGGGGGGGGGCTCCTACATGGGGAGTTCCCGAGAGGCCCTTTAGCCTAGCTCCTGCCCTGGTCCAATCTGGAGACCCAGGGTCTGTGTGCTGGGGGCCTGCTATGTACCAAGCCCTGTGTAAGCTACACAAGCTGTCACACCGCCCCGCCAAGGCTTGGAGTACTCCTCCCCAGAACCCAGCTATTCACCGTCATGAGGGCTGGATCACAGCTAGATCATCTCTGCTAGGGAAGGCCTTCGCTGATCTCAGGTAACGCCCCTGTGCTTTACCTATGCTTGAAATTCCCTGCAGTTTCAGAGCTACTACCATGTCTGTTTGTGATTGCTGCATTAGTCTGTCTCCCCTACTAGCACACATAGCTTCCTGAGTACAGGGACATCTATTTTGTCCATCATTCTCTCACTTGAACTGCACTCAATAAATCAGTGGCCAGGTGGGTAAAGTAAATCAGCTACTCTGGGTGTGACACACTCGTGGTAACGTGTGTCCATATATGGGGCCACGGTGGTGGGGAGATGCTATGGGGAAGTGAAGAGTGCATGCCTCACCCAAAGGCATTTACATTTTTACAATATGCTAAAAATCAATGCTCAGCTGAACAAAATATGTCCATATGCCACATGGAAAGCCCCCAGCTCATGACTCTTCCTATAAAGATCTGTTGAATGAGGGAGTGAAGAACCTACAAGGAGGTCATTCTAAAAAAAAAAAAAATTCTCAAAAACTGCCAGGCATGGTGCACATGTTGTAATCCCAGCTACTCAAGTTACAGGCCAGCCTCAGGCATTTAGTAAGACCCTTTCTTTAAAAAGAAGGACTAGGGACATTGCTCAGTGCTAGGGCATTGCCTAGCATGTGTGACACTCTAGATTCAATCCCCAGTACCACAAAATAATAAATAAAAATTAAAACCTCAAAAAAATCAAGGAGGGCCAGGGGAAGCAGAGTTGAATGGCCTCCTTTTTGGTCTTGTTCACACACTCTTTCAAGAGCATCCAGAATCTCTCCCCGTCTGGCTATTTCTTCTCCCAGCTCAATGCTTGGCGTCCAAAGGCTATAGGAATCAGTCAATCTGGTCAACATGTACCAAGTACCTCCTCTGCCCCAAGCCTGAGTTCAGCCAAATGATACCTTCCATCCTGAGGCTCAGTGTGGCCATGATGGTACAGTGATGGCGCTCTAGCCAGTGTCCGTGGAAAGGGCCATGAGAACACTTCCCAGCTCTCTCCACAAGTGGAGAGAGGAGTGGGCAAGGGAGTATGAAAGATTTACCCACAGCAAAGGAGGACAGGCCAGAGCTAGCCCTGGGACAGACAGGAGTCTCAAGTTTTTACCCACTGGCTTCTCAAGGAGGGCTGGATATGTGTGTGGTGGGTAGAAGGGGACGGCCGTAGTCAGCATGGGGACATGCACGGAAGCCCTGCCTCCGACATTTCAGAGCTAAGCTGGCTTTAAGTCTGTGCCTCCTCTGCTCCACTCAGCTTTCATCTCCCCCTGGGTCACGAGCCAGGACCAGGAGCTGGCTCACAGTAGGTCCACAGCTGGGTCTCAGTCTTGGCCTCAGGCCTCAGGCCAGGGCCGCTTCAGATTTGCTCTCAAGTCTGCCCTGGGAAGAAAGGCGGGAGGGTATTGCTCAGCAAATCCCGCGCCTGGGCTTAGGAGGCAGTTCCCTTCCCCTCCCCCAGGACTCATCAGCTCCCAGGGAAGAACCACAGCTGAGGTCCAGGTCTCCTACCTCCAAATCCCATCCGTTCCTTTCCCTCCCTGACAGAGCATTCTCACCCTATGGATGAACTCTGGGGAACCCCAGACCCCCTAAAATCACATCAAACCTCGTGAGAGCAGAGGAGTGGGGTGGATGAAACGTTTGTGGGGGCCAACCACAAACACAGACTTCACACCTGACTCCACCACATTTGGGTAAGACACTCCTCCCCCAGACCTCAGCCTCTTAATCTGAGAAGTGAGGCAGTTCTCATCTCGCGCCACAGGGACAAACTGGGCCAACGCAGGGGAGGTGTTCAGAATGTCCCCATCCTTCCACTTCATCCTCTGGCTCATGCCTGCTTCCTGGCTGGGGAGGCTGGTTAATAAAGGTGTCCAAGTGGCTCTGTGGGCGCACAGCATCTAGGTGGCACCGTGCTGGCCTGGGCCTTTGGAGGGAGATATGCAGCCCAGGTTTCATTTCTCAGGCGAAGGGTCCCAAGAGGCTCCCTCTCATGAAGAGCTTGCACAGGGAACAATCCGCTCTGTTTCAGCTGACTTGGGGGTGCAGGGGGGATGCGGAGTCCTGGTTTTAATAACTCTGAGAGTTTGGAGGTTCACGGGGGGCCTGCATCTCCTGGTCTGTGGACCGTCCCTCCTGAGAGGTCTCTCGGGATGTCTCCAGCGATGCCTCTGACACCCCGTCAACGCTGCTCAGCAAGTCCTCAAACTCTTGGTGGCCACTGTTGCGGACAGCCGCCTCCAGAGCCTTCTGGCGCCGGTAGAAGTGGGAGAACTTGTTGAAGATGATGGTGATAGGGAGCGCCACCACCAGGATACCACCGAGGATGCAGCCCGAGGCTGCCAGCTTGCCAGCCACTGTCACGGGCACCACGTCCCCATAGCCCACAGTGGTCATGCTCACTGTGCCCCACCACCAGCAGGCGGGGATGGTGTCAAAGCCCACGTTCTCCTCCTCAGCTGTGTAGGCCACGCCGGAGAACACAGACACCCCCACGGCCAGGTATAGCAGTAAGATGCCCACCTCGCGGTAGCTGTGCTGCAAGAAAAGGCAGGAACCCGGGTCAGCCAGACGGGCTCTCAGACCCGGTATCGGGCAGATAGGGGAAACTAGGACCCAGGGAGTGGAAGGGGCAGGTCCAAAGTCACAGAGCAAACCACGATCTTCCAACTACAGCAAGCAGGAAGCTCCCCAGGACGGAACACAGGCCCAAAGGCTGTCCATGGCGCCCACAAGGCCAAGCTGTTTCTAACTCAGGGATCTCCGGGGGCAAGGGCCAGTGACAAAAACGCTGTGATTTCTACATGGCTGTCGAACCAACAGAACCACAGGTTCTGCTTCACAATGCAGAGCTGGTTTCATGAACTTTTGATTCAAAGTACACATTTCTGACATACAAAAACACTCCTGCCCCTCAAGGAAGTTGAGAGGATGAGTTCCCTAGAGCACCCATGGGTGCCCTATGGCACTGGTTCTTAAACAGGGTGATTTTGTCCCATAAGGGACATCTGGCAATGTCTGGAGACATATTTTGGTTGTCACAATGGGACAGATGTGCCATTGGCCTCAAATGGGTAGAGGCCAGGGCTTAACCCCCTACAGTGCACAAGACAGACCCTCACAACACAAAGAACTAACGTCAAATGTCAGCAGTGCCAGCCCTGAGTCTAGAGCAGGTCTCTCAAACTGAAATATGAGGAGGAACCTTCAGGGTCGTAGTTTAAAAGGCAGAACCCAATTTAGCAGGTCTGCCTTTCCAGCAAGCTCCCAGGTGTTGAGAAAGCTGTTGCTGGCCTGGGCCTCACCTGGAGCAGTAAAGCTCCATCTGGAACATCCTACACCTGGGTCTTGACCCTAACAGCCAGATCATTACCCTTCAGTGAGTAGCTTCAAGCCCTGATTCTTGGCATGGTGGAGGCAGGGCAGGGCCCAGGGGCAGAATCTTCCCAAGACACATGCTGAACTCAGGGGGTCTGGCTAACAGAATTCTCTGTACCTGAGCAGATTCTGCCCATGTCACCTGCCAGCACCCAGTATCCTGGCTGCTCTGCCAGGAGAGCATGCAAGAGGCTTCCCTAAGCCAAGGGTGAAGGGTGCTTTAGGATTGAGCATGTGGAAGTTGGGCACGGTTGGGTTATTCTCTGGGCTCTGCCACTTACTTACTGAAGAATTCCTGACAAGTCCTGTCACCTCCTAGAGACTCAGTTTCCACATCTGCACAGAACAGACAGCACTTGCCCCTGCTTAAACCCTTCACACGCTCCCTTGGAGATAAAGTAGAAAATCGTGGGCCAAGAGACATGCTTTTCAAAACCCGCTTCCTCATCAACCTCATTTCTTGGCTCCCTGTTCCCTGGGTCCCCTATCCCAGCATGCACCCTGTTCTCTCACCAAGCCTTGTGCAAGCTGTTCACATTGCCTCCCTCTCCCAGCAAGACTAATTTCATCCCCAGTGCATGAAGATGGGGCTCAATAAAGTGCAACCAGGCTTTAAAAAACCACCCTTCATTCTTGCATCTTCATTTAAGAAAAACAATAAATAACACTAAATGACAGCAACTTCCTGAGGAAGCCATACTAAGTACTGAACCAGTAATGCGTGTGAAATTGGCACTGAATGCCGAGTCTGTGCTTGTTTTAGCTCCTGGGCTATTCCTACACTTTCCTACTAAGGGTGACCTGTGACTGTGCCTTCTGATAATGCCAGGAGAAAGGCTCTAACAGAGAACCCAGAAAGCATCCTGCTTTACATATTTTTGTGCTATGTTTTATTTGATATTTAGCAGATATATCAAAAGTGACCAGTTTGTAAAAAGCAAAAACATACCTCGGTTTTCTCCTCGGGTATGAAGATAACAGTAAGCCCTTTCTTTCAGGGTCATTAGGAAGGTCAGACTAGATTGAGCCATACACTTGGCGTCTAGCCCTGTGCCTGACCCAAAGGATGGCATCTTGGTTCAGGGTGCGCCTGGACATGGCAGGTTTACAAATTCACCTGTAAACCTGACCCTTCCCCAACCCGGCCTACCTTGAGCGTGGCGCCCAGGGAGCGCAGTCCAGTGGAGTGGCGTGCCAATTTCAGTACCCGGAAGATGCGCATGAGGCGGAAAACCTGCACCACCTTGCTCAGGTCGCCGAGCTCCTCGCCGCTCCCGCCGCCCCGGCCACCGAGCGCTGCGCCAGCCAGCAGCGTGAGATAGAAGGGCAGCACCGACACGATGTCTATGAGGTTGAGCGGGTGGCAGAAGAAGTTGCGCGTGCTGGGCGCCAGAAGAAGGCGTGACGACACCTCGAAGCTGAACCAGGCGATGCAGAAGTACTCCAGGCGTCGCAACACCGGGTCGTCGCGCACTTCTTCCGTGTTGCGGCCAGCAGCCACCGCAGCCACGGCGGCCGCCGCCTCGCGGGCCTGATACTCCGGCAGGCTGTGGATGCACATGGCGGCGATGGAGGCCAGCACCACGCCGATGGAGACGCAGCTGAAAAGCTTGCTGGGCAGCGAGTAGCCGGGGTTCTCCATGGTGAGCCAGAGGCGGCGGCGCAGGCGACCGCAGCGCGCCGCGCCATAGCGCGCCAGCTCGCGCTGCACGTCCGAGATCTCGTCGGGGCACGGGTCCACACTGCTCGGCGTGTCGCTGTCCTCATCCCAGGCGCGCGGCCGCGCCACGCGCCGCTCCAGGTAGCGCGCGCGGCAGCACGTGGCCAGCGCGCTCTCGCCCAGGCCCCAGTAGTCGGCCTCCTGGCCGAAGGCGAAGACGCACAGCTCGTCGAGCACGTGCAGGCGGCCGGTGCGGTAGAAGTGCAGCAGGCCCAGGAAGAAGCCCGGGTGCCGGTCGAAGTAGAACTCGCGCGCCGCCGCGTCATAGTCGTCGCACAGGCGCCGCGCCTGCTCCTCCGACGCCGCGGCCTGCAGGCGACCCAACCGCGTGCCCGGGAAGCGCGCCAGGGCGCGCGCGCTCAACAGCCGCCGCACACCGCCCACGTTCACGCGCAGAGCCTCGTCGCTTCTCCGCCAGGGAACCCCAGGGCCAGGCCCCGAGGACTCGCTCACCATGGCTACAGCGGGTCGCCCTGCAGACACCGGAGGGCGCACTGAGAGATCCCAGGGCCTCCTTTCCAGGAAGACTGGGTTAAAATCCCCTGCTCCCTTCACCAGGCGGGGTGTTGGAGGCCCTGTTGAAGAACCTGGTATGCAGTTAGAGATCAGTAGACGTCAGATGTCCTCTGGACGCAAGTCAGGCCTGAGTTTGAATATCCCACACCCTCCTGGCTGCAGGACTTTGGACAGATCACGGACCCTCCCCATTCTCATTTCATTTTCTCCTGTGGAAAATAAATGGGAGCTCTACCTTTAAGGATTATGTCTGGCATGCGCCGAACGCTCACGTAGGATGTCTTCTTTTCCAGGACTAACCAGAGGTCTACAGTGTGATCCTGGATGTGCCAGCACTCTGAACCTCGGTTTCCTTCTCCGCAAATAGGAGTAGTAATGCTTGCCACCTAGGATTGTTAGGAAAATCAGTTTAGACCAGGGATTCTCAAAGTGTTCCCTGGATTTGCAGCATCAGCGTCACCTGGGATGCAGATTCTCAGCCCACCCTGGATTTGCTGAATCAGAAACTCTGGGGTAGGGGGTCAGCAGTCTGAGTTCTTAAAAATCCGGGGAGTGATTCCAACACAGGGTTAAATTTGAGATCTCCAGTCAGACCATGTAAGGCAGACAGCATTGAACCTTGGTGTGCTTGTGGGACCTTAGGCAAGTTACATCACCTTTCTGAGCCTTCATCAAATAGAGATAAAAATATCCACCTGGAAGTGTGGTTAAAATGATTACCTTGACTTAATGTCTTTTTTGAGGTTTATTAAATTATCTGCCTCTGTCCCTCTTCTGGAGTCAGGCAAAACCATCCTTGATGCACCTGGGGCCTTGAATAAGATGTTTCTTCTCCGGGTCTCAGTTTCATGGGCAATGCCTACCCCCAAGGATGGCTGAAGGGTTAAGGTAGATTACAGCGTTTGGCTTAGTTGATACTCAGGAAGTGGCAGGTCCTTCACTGCCCACTGACTGCTGCCTCTGATGGAATTGATGGCTGGGACTCACCTCCTGACCCTGGTTATCTCATGTGCACGGTGGGTTCAAACACGCTGGCTTCCTGGGGGTTGAATATGCATCAAAGCCCGGAGCCTGGGTGTCCTTCACTCCCCCTGGGTTTGGTGTTAGGGGGTTGGGATTCCCCCCGACCTCTGGCACTTGTGCAATCTCAGGCCAGTCTCTGGGCTTGCTCACTATTTCTAGAATGGGGATAATGGCCCTTTGGATGAACTGTTACCAGAGTATGTGTGCAAAGCCCCTGGAACACGGTGGGTGCTCAATGAACATTAATCCCTTGTCCTTCCCTCAGGTCAAACCTGAGTCCAGATTCTGAGTCTGCCACTTACTAGCTCTTGACCTTGAGCAGATCCATTCCCTGCTCTGAGCTTCAGTTTTCCCATCTACAAACTGGAAAATATCATACTTTCCATGGGAGGCTATGAGGATACAATGACGCTAGATGTCGGTGGGCAGTGCAGACCCTGGCAGTAATAGGTGCACAAGAAACCTGTGCTGCAGCTCCACTCTCACCTCGTCCACCTGGGTTTGGCAAAAGTTCTCATCTACTTTCACCACCCTCTAGATGCAGAGTCAGGGGCAAATCCCTTCATCTGTCTGGAATTCACTTTCTTGCTCTATAAAATGGGATAATTAATTCAACAAATATTCCCTGACTAGATCTGCACATCTTTCTGGTTCAAGACTTTCTGGACACTTACTTGGAACACCTATTACTTGCTGGTCACTTTGCTGAGCTCCACACCCAGTGCTCCCGTGAAATCCCTTCTCCAACCCCGACAGGGAGTCCTCAAACCCCATTTTACAGATGAGCAAGCAGGGCCAGCCCGAGTCCCCCTTTGGGCCGTGTCCTAGAGAGTCTCAGGCACCAGGAAGCCTAGGCAGTTCCCAGCGCCCACTTTCCCAGCCCAAGACCTTCCTCGGACCACGCCCCTTCCCAAAGAAGGCCCCTTACCTGCGGCAGCCGCTCTCTGGAGCCTGGCGCGACGGTCCCCAAAGGCGCAGAGGCTGCGGAGGCGCTGGCGACGCCCGGGCTGTCAGTGCCCCAGCGGCCCTGCCGCCTCGCTGCAGCTGGAGGCCCCGCGGCCCCCTCCTTGCCTTGTTCCTCTGTCCCCCGCGGCTGAGGCCGCATCGATCGCTGCCGGGGAGGAGGGAGACCGCGGCCGGCCGGAGGCGGTGGTTTCTATTCCTGACTCGGTGGGGGGTGGGGGTGTCTGGAGTCTGGGCCCAACAGCCGGTCATCCCCCCCATCTGGAGTCCGCGAAGGATGGGTCATGTAGGGGATGGAGATCCACCTAGAAAGGGGGTGCGGCCTCGGTCCCAGGACAGGCAGCAACAATGGTTGGATTAATTGAGTGCTTAATATGTGCCAGAAATATTTCAGGTGACTTAGCTCAGCTATTCCTGGCACAAACTTGGCAGGGACAACAGGCTCTCGCGTTCTGCATTTGACAGGTGACGCTGGGCCCTTGCTCGGACTGCAGGGATCTGACTTAAGGAGTTGGGGAAGGCGGCTGCATCTCCCCCAGCCCCAAGCTGTGCCTGAGGGGGCTGCAGTCGTGGCTGCAGGCAGGTGGGCTGTGAGCATCCTCCTGTCCCTGAGGCTCAGTATCCTCACCTGCCCACGGAATCCTGATCCTGCCTTTGGGGTGGCCTGGTGAGAGTCAAGGGGAAGGGTGGCAAAGAACTCTCCAAACATCGTGTGATCTTCAAGTATTTATGAGTGGCTTCTGGGTGCCTGGTTGGGGAGAGGGTGCTGCAGAGGAGGAACCAAGTTCATGGAAGACTACAAATACTGTCATTAATAACAATGATAATCACCCACACTGGCTGAGCTCTGTTTGGGGCTAAATTCAGGCTTCATCTCATGCAGGCTGCACACGTACCTGTGGGTTAGGTGCTGTTATTTATTCCTGTCTCACAGGGAAGAATTATAAGGTTTGAGAAGCATAATGGCTTGCTCAAGGTCAGATCAGCCTCTGTGTCCCCCATGCCAGCCCTGACAATAGATACTAGGTGGACCACCTATGCAACTAAATCTTTATAATAGCAACGTTTTTAAGAAGTAAAAAGAAGCAGGTGAAATTATTTTAATAGTATATTTTATTGAACCCAATGTATCTGGAATATTTAATTTTAATATAAAATCATAATTATTAATGAGATATTCATTTTTGTACTAAGTCTTTAAAACCCAGTGAACTGTTTTTTATCACTTTGTAAAAAATTGGCCACAACTTCAGTAGCTTCAAACAATACAGATTTATCATCATTATTAGGTCAGGAGTCTGGGCCCAGCTTGGCTGGATTCTCTACTCAGGGTCTTACCAGGCTGAAGCTAAGTGTCAGCCAGGGTTGAAGTTTCCATTTGTGTTCAAACGTCTCTTCCAAGCTCACATATTGGCAGAATTCATTTCATTGTGGTTGTAGAACTAAGATCCTCCTTTTTCTCCTAATGGTCTGTCGGCTGTCATCTCAGATCCTAGAGGTGGCCTGTACTTCCTTGCCGCCTGGTCCCATAGCTAGTTCACAGCATGGTGCTTGCTGACTTCCTATTCTGTAACCAGACAGAGAAGGTCTCTGGTCTGTTTCATCTCCAGATCACTTCCATTTACCATTCGAGAGGTGATCAGAGTTTTAGATGCATGTGTAAGTGACGGAAGTAAGGACAGGGGCTTTGTGGGTCACTGTGCTAACAGGGTATCAATGCCCTTTGATTACCGTGGGTGAGCGGTCCCCCAAACTCCTTCAGTCCCTTGCCAGGGGTGCTGTCAGAACCCATAAAGTTTTGCCTACAGATTAAACTTGATGTGGCAGAAAATACAGTTTTGGGGTGAAGTGGACCTGGATGGGCAGCTTCTTCCACGTCTCCCAGTGATGTGCGCCTGGGATGCCCTTCCGGAACCCCTCACTTGAGTACCAAGTGATTCTAGTGAACAGAACAGGCAAAGGTGGTGGCCTGCCACTTCCACAATAAGGTGGCTTAAGGTGGTGACTTCTGCTGGCTTTGAGAAGCAAGTTGCCAGTTGCCATGCTGGATGGGCGAGGAGGTGAGGGTGACTTCCAGCTGACAGCCAGCGAGAGATGTGATGTTCAGGCCATCAGTCCTCCAGGAACTGAAACTCTGCCAACAACCTCCTAACCTGGAAAGCAGATTCTACCTCATCAAGGCTGGGGAGAGAGTCCCACCCTGACCAACACCTTGACTGCAGCTCATGAAGCGGAGAAACTGAGATAATAAATGGGTGGTGTTTTAAGCCCACGACAGGGGATACCTGTTACCCTGTGATAGGTAATAAATCCGTGGGCTTTAATCCTATTCCTGCTACCAAATTCCTTGTTCAGGGTCTCCTCTGAGATGCTCATCTTTCTCTTCTGTGTAATGGAAACAACGCTTCCCTCTGAGGAGTGCACAGAGGATTAGCACATGCTGTTCCCTTCCCAGAGCAACTGCCCTTTCTTGGCCCAGGGTACTTGACTTAGGAACAGAAATGGATTCATAGTGGCTTCACTAGAGAAGAGTCTAATTTTTTGCAGTAGGCCATCTTCTCCCTTAGGAAGCTTCCTCTGGTTTCGGGGCTGAGTTAGGCCCCTCCTGGCCTCTGTAGCCTCTGAGGTTTCTCCAGCCAGGGCTCTCTCTCATCCACTAGTGCATGAGCTCTGGGAAGGCATGGCCTGCAGCCTGTAGTAGGTGCTCAGCAAACATTTACTGAATGAGGCAGAGAGGAAAGAGAGGTTGGAGTCTGCACAAGGGACCAGGATGTGCAGCTTCCCAGGAGGCTTTCCAAAGGGATGGTGGAGAGAGACAGGATTTGGAGCTAAAGCAGTTGAACTTTGGTAGCCAAAGATGGAGCCACATGGCACAGATCAAGACACGGACCTGATGGAACAGGTAGTGTTAGCCAGGAAGCTGAGCAGGCTCTGCATCCTCACAGCCTGTGACTTGCCACTTCCTGACACTCCCCAGGCAGAACTCAGGGCCCCAGGACAGCCAGGGGGCTCTTCACAGCCAAGGCTTAGCTAGTTCACCTACAAGAGTCCTGTTGGGGCCCCTGAATTCTCCTCCCCATCACCTTTAGGAAAGAAAGCAAAGCAATAAGTCTGTGCCCACAGGCCTGGGTCCCTGCTGTCCAGATTCGAGCCTGCTCATTTCACCTACTTTGTGATCCCCATTTTTCAGATGTTAAAGCTGGGTTACTAAAGTTGGAGGGACTCTCCAAAGACCTGCTGTAATTAGTATAGTTAATAAGGCTGCAAGGTTTGGGGGCAGACTGTTTGGCTCTGACCTTGACCCAATCAATCTCTTTGTGCCTCAGTCTTCCTCATACGTGAAATGGGAGGAAACAGAACATCCTGCCTGGCAAGGCTGTGAGGATTTAATGAGATGATCAAAGGACACCTGGTACCCGGTGGGTGCACTGCAAAAAGGAACATGTGGCAGTTTAATCCACTTCTCAGCTGGGGGTCTTGGGCAAGTCACTTGTCTCAAAGCTGCAGCTTCTTCATTGTCAAATAGGAATAACAATGCCCACCTTCCTCGGGTTACGGGATGAATGAATGAAAGGACAATTTAAAGTGGGAGGCACAAGGTGGCCATTCACTGGGCACTAATAATTGGTGTCTGCATTAGGCTCTTACTGCAGTGGATCTATCACCGGCAGCCCCTGAACCTCCACAGCTTCCCACCACAAATATTGATCTGTCTCTTGCAAGTTTGAGGCTTGGCTAGGACTGTTCACCTTCAGGCCTGCCCGTGTGTCTCTGATGTCGAGACCCATGGCTTCTGGGTGAACTCTTCTCATGGCAGAGAGTAGGAGTTCTAAGAAGGCCAGTGCCTCATCTTGAAACTGGGGGGCTGCCGTTTCCGCCCCATCCCCTTAGGCAAACGCGCTCCTATCAATCCCCAGATCGCTGGGACAGGGACGTCCACTCCCCCTCCAGGGAAGCCGTGGGAGGGAAGGGGCAGTTGTGGGCAACTGTGTCATCTGCATGTTGTGTGCGTTAACCTTCTGTGGTTACCGAGGAGGAAAACAAGGCTCAGAGGGAGGTAAAGAAATATCTGAGGTCGCACGGAATCAGTGACTCCCAGAGAGCTCTCTCTGCAACTCCCAGACCTCGCCCTGCGTCCACAGAATCAGCATTTGCAGCCTTGAGTCACTAATTCAGGCACTGGGGGAGGACGGTGGCAATGAGGAAGGGCAGTTCTGTCCAACAGAAGCCCCGGAGTGGTGGGCCGCTCACCTGGACTCAACCTCAAGGTCAAGAGAACAGGGAAAGAAGACCCAGGATTCCCAGGGTCACCTCACAGTTGACCAGCCAACTCCTGAGCCCAGCGGGATGCAGAGGAGGCCCGGCAGAGACAGCAGCAGAGTGTACCTGCCTCTGTCCCTTCCCAAGGCAAGTCCTGGGGAGGAGACAGTCAGAAGCCAACTGTCTGGGTTCCGGGATGTTCTTGTCATCCCCCTACAGGAAACCCTCAGCAGGCCCTGACCACAGACCAGCCCCAGGGAAGCCCAGCCCAGGGTCGAGGACAGGGCCACCATAAAGCTGGCGTCCCAGCTGCTCCGGCGACACTCCCCTGAACGTGGGGCAATCCACAATGATCTTAATGAGCACTTGGACGCCACACTGCACAACATTGGCTTGGAGTGAGACCGTGCTGCTCTTTCGATCCTGATTACACCAGGGAGCTGTCTCAGTCCGAGATCTGCGTCTTTGGCATCTCTTTAACCCTTGCTGATCTCCATTTATTAAAACAGAGACGGGGAGCAGGCTTCCGGTTCAGTCTTGGCGGGTGGCCGTATCTAGCTCCAGTTTAATAATCTGATTTATTGGACATGATTTAATTTAATGGGCCTGAACTATTTTCGTTGTATTTGTTTTCACAATTACATTCTATTTGTGGCCAGTGATCTTGCGCCTCTCATTTAGAGCAGTGATATCGAGTTTTCTTTTGAAATAAGTTTAAAGTGGGTGATTTAAAGAAGACATGAGGTCCACAGTAGCGGCAGCATGTGAGACATCACCATGCTGGTTTGCAGGTGTGGCAAAAACTGGGAAAAGATATACGAATGGACCATCGTTTGGAAAATCCTGCGAGGACTTCATCTGGAGGCCGCAGGTGGGCTCAGGCCTGCCTGAGTTGGGCGTTTTGGTGGAGGAAACAGAACGTACAGAGACGTGAGGGTTGGGACTCAGGAGCGAGGAAGCTCAGTGTGGCAGTGGCCGCGGGTGCTAGGGAGACGAAGAGGAGTGCTTGGGACTTCAGGCTGTGGACCTTGGCATCCAGGAGGACAAACCAGAGGCCACGGGTTGCAGGGCGGTGACAGCAGGTCAGTTAATCAGAGATTGACACTGCCTCCAGGAGAGATGTTGCTGTGGGTGCCAGCGTCCCCGGGAACCCCACCTGAGTTGCAGAACTGTAGGTCTTCAGCCAGAATCAGCCTGAGGGGAGAGGAAGAAGGGATAACCCGCAATGTCCGTTACAGAGCTCTGAGCGTTGGGTTCTGTCCCCACATCCAGACCCCACCAGCCCAGCCCTGGTTGCTACTAAGGCAGGACCCCCGTCCCCTTCCAAAGGCCAAACTGGAGTTCAGAGCCATTTCAGGATGTGGTCCATGTGAAGCGGCAAGTTCAGGAAGAGAACCCAAGGTCCCCAGTTCCTGTGCTGTACTCACAGGGCTCCTCCTGCCCCAGCCACTTCCCCAGTTCTGGCCAGAGAGGCCCTGGCTTCTGGGGAGGTCTCCGGTTCAACTTGCTGAACTGGAAGGAAACCTCGGAGCTGGGCTGGCAGAGGGAAGGCCCTGCCTCAGGTCCCCAGGAGCCCACCTCTGACGGGGTCTCTGCAGTCCCGGCCACAGGCGCTGCGACAGCACCGCTTCCTGCCCATGCAGTCGGAGTCTTGGCTGCACATGTGCCTGGTGGGGCTGAGGCAGTGCAGCCGGTCCTCGGGGCAGCTCCCCAGCTTCACTGCAACACAGGGGCCGGGGTGAGCCTGAGGTGCCCACCTGGGGCTGGGGGTTGGTGCTCAGCAAGGCGGAGGGGCCACTGACCTGAGACCCTGGGGACACACTGGCGGAAGCAAGCTCGGTAGCAGCACTTCTTGGTTGAAGGACACTGGCTGTCACCAGTGCACTGATCGGGCACTGACAGGAGGCAGGGCCCGTCATCTGGCGGGCAGCTCCCCCACTTCTCTGTAAGAGAACACCCACATCTTGCAGCTGGAGGCAGCTCAGGTTATGTAACAAGTGCTGACCTGGAAATCACATCTGAATTCGGTGTCCCCTACTCCTTGCCCGTCCTTTGAGAAGTTTATTTATTTATTTTCAATCACTATTTTTCTCCCAGGGCTGGTTGGAGATCCAGGCAGCATAACAATAGGGAAAATAAGAAAGTTAAAAGTCTCCACTGTGTCCAATAAAGTTATGGCTAGGCTAGCCTCTCTTCTCCCTGGCCTTATCCCCACCCCTTTTTGTTTTGAGATGGTCTTGCTATGTTGATGAGGCTGACCTCAAACTTTCAATCCTCCTGCCTCGGCCTCCCAGGTTGCTGGGATTAAGGCGTGCACCCACCTTGCTCTGCCACTCAGTGGCCCCTGATGGGCTCCAGGCTCCTTCTGTCTGCAGGGCTCTTGCTGCGGCTGCACCTTTGCCTGGTGCTGTCCGCTCCACTCAGAGCACCTGGTCAATTCATTAATCTCTGAAACACTTCATCCTCAGAAGACCTTGCTTCTCCAGCCCCACCCGGACTCTGGGCCTCTCATCAGCTGGAGGCAGTGGGACTTGTCACCTGCCTGCTCTGCTGTGCTCCCTGTGAGCTCTGGCACAGCATTTGGTGCACAACACTAGGGGCTCAGTGACTGTCTGAAAGAAAGGACTTGAAGGGAACCCGGTGTCATGCACATTGGCTGTTGCCAGCCTGCTGCATTGTCACATAGCCACCATGGCCACATCTGCACTGCGTGCTTGTCGCTGTGGCAGGTGGCGTGGCTTCAGGGTCCAGAGGTACTAAGTGTCTTGGAGGTGCCCCTCCAGGCGGCTGTGGGATGTAGGGTCCTGGAGTTTACCTGACCCCTCTTCTGGGATATTTCTGGCTATTTCCAGGTTTCACAGAAGGCTGGAGATCAGTACCTTCCTCCACTGGGTAGAGGAAATCAAGGTCTGAAAGGGACAGTGACTGGCCCAGACCCACACAGTCCTGGGCCAGGACTCCTGCGGCCAGTTCCCTCTGATCTCTGGGACCTGCTCTGGATGCTTTTGAGCCCTAGGGATGGGGCTGGACCAGGTCTTCAACCCAATCGAGCCTCAGAGAAAAGGTTCCGGAGCTCCCACAGCACTGGATTCAAGGCTCTGTCACCTGGGTCACCCTTCCGCCTCTGACCTGCCTGGGTGTTGGCTGCACATAGTAGGTAGCCTCTCACACAGTGAGTGCTCAAAATCAGCTTCATGCCTCCTTAGACTGAGTTGGTTTAAATCGAATTGCTGCCCCCTGCTGGAGAAAGGGTGGCTGAGCCTGGGAAGGAGTCTGATTAGCTTCTCTTGGTGGTGGGTGGCAGGGGGAGGGGAGAGGGGAACCCAAGGGGCCCTGGAGACTGTCTGAGGTGCCAGGGTTCAGCGTTAACTCACAAGCCCAGGCTGGAGGTGCTCAGGCCAAAGGGAACTCAGAGCAGGAAAGCAGGAGTGGGGAGCGGGCAGGTAGGTCAGGGGACAGAGGCCGCAGAGCTTCTGAGGGGGGCCAGGATGGGAACAGACTGATAGGGAGGGGGCTGAGAGCTGGCATCTCAAGTGGGAAGAACTATGACAGCCACCGTGTGAGCTGGGCATTAAATTCTGGAGGGCACAAAGACAGGTGGCAGTTCTGGGCAGCCACAGAGGCTCTGCCTTCCTGACCTTCCCGTTCACACATGCGCACTCTGAGCAACAACGTGACGATGCAGGTGGTCATCCAGATGCGTCCACTGTGGGTGCATAGACTCAGCCAGCAGCACACAGGTCAACAGATGTGTTCACACACTCGTGTAGATACACAGCCCAGTGTGCAAGCACTTAGATCTATATACACAATTCGCCGTAGGCTTAGCCATCTGGGATTGCGGATACTCAACTTTTTTTTGATCTACAAAAAAATAGCACATTATGTGGTTCAACCTAACACATGCACACACACCCACACATTCAGACATGCACAAGATAGTTTAATATTAATACACACACATATATAAATGCAGGCAGTCACACATGTACATTTGAAATGGGACATACACAGAGTCAGATTTATAAACATACAATCACATACATGTCTACACACATGAATATATATAAAGAAAGATTCATAATGCACAGTTATGCATGAAAATATACAGCACATGCATACATGCGAGCACAGTGACATATACACCACAGACATCTATTCACGATCACACGTATGGAACTATAGACCCAGATGTTCCCGGCACCACATAACCACTAAAAACATTTAACTAGGCGTTTACTGTCCACTGGGGAGAGCGCCCAGCTTTTGGATCAGAGACATCCAGACAGTTGAGTGAGGGCCAGGGCTCCCCTAAGCAGAGGCAGCCAGTCTTCCACAGACGTCAAGCTGAGGCTCCCCTCCCTCACCCCTGCCACCTTCCTCCACTGTCTGAAGTCCACTGAGAGTCGGGCAGAGGTCTCCTGGAGAGGAGCCAGGGAAGGAGGAGATGCGGTGAACTGGGGAGACATGCGCATCACACATGGCCACACCCAGAGGCCCGGAGCTGGCCTGGGCTCTGCTGGTGCTAGCTCCCACTCTTAGCAGCTCGGTGAGGTATCAGGACATGTCCTCCTGGTACCCCCAGCCCCTCCTCCAAATCACCCAGTTGCGCTGCTCCTACTGTGTACCTGACCCTCTTCAAGGCACCATGTGCTCCTGAGAGAGAGGCACGAGCCCATTTCGCAGGAGTCAGCAGGTGAGCCTTTCTGACTTCCCCGACCTCACTCAGATGTCACCTTTGAGACAAAGAGTCTTGGACCTTGGGCAAGCGGTTTCCCGCTGTGCTTTGGTTTCCTCATCTGCAAAATGGGAATCAATGTAGTGCCACCTCACACACTGCAGAGGAGGTGTGTGGTGACGGCCGTGAACCACAGTGGACGGACTGGCCTTGGCCCACCAGCCTCCTTCCTTCCTCGACCCAAGGACTCTGAGCACCCTCCTCCCCACATCAGCTCCCTCCTCTGGCAGGGACCTGTGCCTCCAAGGAAGGCATAATCTAGGCTAAAGAGAGCAGAGTGGATGCAGGCAATTGCTCCCAGAGCCCCTGCAGGAGGGGACCTGTCCTCATTACTGACCCCTCCCCCCAAGGCAGGGCCAGGGCTGCCCAGGTGAATGTAGGTCACCTAGATTCCACTAGAAGGGAGCAGTGCCTCACCCAGATCAGGAGGCACCAGTCCAGCCGCTCCAGCACCCTCACCTCCCTCCCCTGTCAACAGGCAGCCTCAGCCCCAGCCTCATCTGGGGGTGCCAGTGGGCATGGAGGTGCAGGAGGGAGAAGAGAGGCAGCGACAGAGACTCCTCCCAACATATCCCAGACCCCACGAGCCACGTTCCCTATTTAACTCTCAAGCCCTTCTACAAATGGAGCTGGGAGGGGGGGCAGAAAAGACTCGCGGAGTGGCAGACTTGGAAGGTTCCCTCCCCAAAGAGGAACCCCAGCTCAGACACACACGATGCAGTTGTTCTGCAGTGAACACGCGCGGGCTTGGGCGTGCTGTGGTACATCCTCAGATGCGTAGATGGCGCCAACCAGCACCGAGAAACCAGCCGAGATACACAGACACGCGCCAAAAATGCACAAATGAAAACACAGCCTCCCAGAACCACTAAGCAGGGTGTACACACACACACACACACACACACACACACACACACACACACCCAACATCGACTGCCCTCCCCAAAACCAAGCCTTACTCTCCTCGAGAGGCAAAAACCACCTAGGGCCTAGAGAATAGGGATCTCACCACCTCACCTCCCTTCTTCCAGCCAGAGGCGGCAGGCAGCTGAGTCCCCAGAGCCAGGAGAGCCACCAGGAGGAAGCTCCAGAGCCCCATGTTTCTGCTGCTGGCATCCAATAAGGTCAGGGCCCAGCAGCTCCCAAATTAGCATCTGCAACCCCGGGAGGCCAAAGCAGCTGAGTCAAGGGAGGATGATGTCACATGGGGGTGGATGATGTCACATGGGTCTCCCTCACGCTGGCTCCACCCTCTGCCCAGGGCCCAGGGCCAGGGGTGCTTGTGCAAGAACTAAAGGCAGGGTGGCCCAGATCCTACAGGTGGGGGGACCTGGACCCAGTCCTGCCTGTATCCCTGACTTGGCTGTGGTCATGGCAAGTCTCGGGATCCCTCTCTGAGCTGCGGTTGATCCTACCTGTGTTGTGAAATGAAAGGGAAATGGCGATGGAAGCAATGTTGACAGAATGGACTTGGAAGGCAGCGGAACTTATGCAGGTCTCAAGCTGCCACCTGGAGTTGTGAGAGCTGGTCACCTCCACCCTGTGACCTCAGACATCTGGAGTATATATTGGGAAAGACCAGGTGATAACATTGTGCCCAGAGACTCAAGATGCACAGCAAAAGATTCAGACTCTTGCTTGATGGACCTTGTTACCAAGTACATACACCCTTTTGTTAACTTCTTTGGTCATGTAGCCCCCGTTGTTTCTTAGCATTTAATAGGAGTTTTCTACAAAGGGGCTTCACCACTTTGTAACACAGGAGCACCGCCGGCCCATTCCGTCCCCAACTCCCTGCCTTCCTCAGAACGTCGACATCAGCTCTCTGAACCTGTGCCTCTGACGAACAGCTCTCAACTCAGGTCTGCCCACTTGCAATTCCTAAGACCCCAAATAAAGTTCTTTTTACTTTTACAGTTTCTGAATTTGGCCGAGAGTATTCAGGGTGAAGCATGAGTCAGGTCCCCACTTTCCTGGCTCTCCACAGTCTCAGAGTTCCAGCAACGTCTTAGGCACGGACGGAAGTTAGTTCTGCCTGACACGGGGGCTTTGCTCATTCTGGATTCCTAGGAAGGGAGACAGCATTAGGGTTGGGGTCGGAGCTTCCTGCCAGAGAAGCTGGCCCAGGCTGGCAGGTGAAGGAGGCCAGCCTCAGTCTCCCCTTTTGGGTCCCTGTGGGGAGAGAGGCCACCCCACCTTTGTGAGATCACTTGCAGTGACATCTGGTAGAACTGCCCTCTGCCTGGGCTGGTGTGGCAGAGGGGACGGATGAAGCAAGGCTTCATTTTGGCTGTATTCATGGGCCAGAGCAGATGTCATCTCACTCAGGGACCCCAGCCTAGTTTTCATCAGGGTGAAATCTCGATCCATGTAGCCCCTGATAACGGCTCCTGCATTTGGTGGAAGAGAAGAGGCTGACATTGACCAGTGGATCCACCAGCTCCGTGGGAGCTCAGGTCCCTCCTCCCGGCCCTCCCATGTGAAAGATGAGGAAACCGTGAGCCAGAGATGAGAAAGAACTGCCTCAAAGACACACCTGATTCCTGGGACTAAGCTGGGACTTCCGCTCTGGCATCCCCAGCATCTGGGTGTTGAAAGCAGGAAATACTTCAGCTGACCCTGAGAGAGGAAGGTGACATTCCAGGGCTTAGCTCACCCTTCCCTCCCAGTCCAGAGCAGCCAGGCAGGAAGTTCTTCCTTGGACTTAATTGGAATTCCTCACGCTGTCTTCCTAGCTCTCGGAAGAAGAGGGGCTCTGCCTTCTATGACCTGAGGTTACTTTTGGAAGAATCTGGCATCTCCTTGGCAGCCTTATTTTGGAGAAAAACACTTATGGACATACTTTTTTTTTTCTGATTATAAACAACATGTTCGTTGAAGAAATGCTTTTTTGATGAAGATGATTTTGTAAACATTTTCAAGTCTCTAAACATGATGTTTAAGGATGTGATTGCTTGTCTGTCGTACATGAGTGGCAGGTTTGGTGGTGTTAGTCAGAATGTTGGATGTATGCTGAGGTGGTTTTAAATCTTAGTGCCACCAATCTCTTACCTGCATGACTTTTTTTCAAACCTCAGCTTATTATTCTATAAAATAGAGACAGACATAACAATATTTTTAAATGGTAGTTCTGAGGATTAAATGAGGTGGCTTGATAAATGCTTATTGTAATCCTCTATTGCAAATACTTCTTTCTTTTTTTTTTGGTACCAAAGTTTTAAATTTGGGGATAGTTAAATCAGTATTTCCATATATATTTTCTCTCTCTATTTTTGTGCTAAAAAGCCTTTTTAACTCTGATATCCAATAAGTATATTTATTTTGTTTTGTGATGTTTGGAAAACCTATTAATTCTGAATCCATCTGAGATTTATTACGGCAGAGCATGTGAAAGAGAAAATGCTTTTTTCCTAAGTTATTAGGCAATTGTACCATTAGCCTTTAGTAAATAATTCAAAAGTTTGCCATTGATTAGAAATCAGACCTTTATCAAAAACTCTTATATGTCAAGGGGCCGTTGCTGGGTTTTGGTTCTTTCCCTTTGACTGTGTATTCTTGTTCCCCATTACTGCTGTCCCCCCCCCAGTGTGTTTTAGTGACACGAGGTGTCCATCACTGGTCACTAGCCTGCGTTGTCAGGATTCACATCACCAGTACTTCATTCTCCCTTATGAACCTGATGATCATTTTGTGAAGTTCCAAAAATAAGTCCACTGTTTTTTATCATAAAAAAAATGTATCACAAAATATTTCAAAAAATGCACAAAGGAACAGTAACTCTATACGACATGCTCATCACCCAGATTGGATAATGAACATTTTGTAATGCCTCCTGTTTTGGCTGAAATATTTTAAAGTAAATCCAATGCGTCGTATATTTTAGCCATAAATACTTTAGCATGGATGGCCAAGAAGAAAGACATTCTCTTGCATAATCACAACATCATTCTCACACCCCACAAAACAAACAGCAGTTCTTAACTTCTAATGCTCTGCTGTTTTCTTATTGTCCTGAAAGTGACTTAGCGAAGTCCTTGGCACCAGAATCCACCCCTAGCTCTGTACACTCATTGCACTGCTCTGATGTCCCTGACCCCCTTGTCATTGGGAAGAGTTCCTCCTGCTGGCTTCTGCCCTCCCTCCCTCCCTCCCTCTTCTTCCTGTGGACCACGGAGGTGTTTCATGACACAGATGAATGGTCCCTTAGAATGTCCCACGTTGCTTCCTCCTGAGTCTTTCAACTTCCCTGTCTTTGGTATTTCTGTTGACCCATGTGAGGCTCTAGAAGCTTATGAGGTCACGCTGACTGGGCAAGAATCCTCCCGGGTGTTGGGTGCTGTGGGCCTCCTCCCCCTCAGGAGGAGCAGACACCTACTGGACCATTTGTAGTGTTTTGAGGACAAGTGAAGGTATTTTAGTAGTTGCCCCCCAATCCCCTCGTTGTAAACCTGTGTCTCCCCATCTAGGAAGAGCAAATACACCATGGCATGATGATGTAGCACCCTGCAAATATTTGGAAACTGTGGATAATTACCTAAATCAATTATTTAATTAGGTTTTGATTCTGATTATATTACACTTCACATGTAAATTATGTTGACCAAATAGACATCCTTTTTGTTTTTTTACATTTTTATTAGTGCCTTATTGCCATACGTAACAGTGAAGCATATACCATAATTTGCTCCATTTTAATTCCCAGTACTTCCCCTTTCCCATCCACCTCCCTCCCTCTCAATTCACTGTTCTCCCTTCTATTTTCATGAGATTCTCCACCCCCTTTAAAATCCTTATTCTCTCTACCTTCTGCAAATGAGAAAAAACAGGATAGACATCTTTACCTCATGGAGGTTTCCTGTTTGGGAAGAGCAAACCTTTTAAAAACCATTTTATCATGAAAAATTTCAGCCTATTCATCCACTTAAATAGGCTGAATGTCAGCAGAGTTTTACAGTTGTTGTTGTTATTTTTTTTTTCCAGAAAATTTCTGTGTGCATCTAGTTATGTTCATTGGTAGGCATATTATATATGTTTTGATAATGTTGAATAGGAATTCTTTACTATTAAGTTGTCTTAGTCAGTTCTGGCGACTGTAACAAATTACCACAGACCAGGTGGTTTATAAACAACAAACACTTATTTCTCACAGGTCTGGAGTCTGGGAAGTCCAAGATCAAGGTGCCAGCAGATTCATGTCTGGGGAGGGCTTGTTTCCGGTCTCTGTGACTTCCGGCTGGGTTCTCACGTGGGGGAAGGGCAAGGCAACTCTCTGAGGCCTCTTTCCTGAGGGCTCCTGTCCCCAGGAGGGCTCACTGGCTAGGGTGAGAAGGAGCACTTCAGAGGAGGAGAGCCAGCGTCTGTGGAGGGCTGGACACTGGAGAAAAGGACATGTGGACCAGGTTTCCTTTGGGGAAAACACTTTTGTCGGAAAAAAACAATCATATAATAATAATAATAAAAAATAACAAAAACTGGAAATTACAGCCACACACAGATAAAGAATATAGGTTCCTTACACATTGGAAAAGCTTTTAGACCCGCCTCTCTGTCTAACAGGACGAATAATTCACCCTCATCCTGAGTACATCCTTCTCATGTCTTAGTTGAAGAAACTGTGGTCATAACCTAACAGCCTTGGATTTTATTAGGGAAAACAAGAGGAAGGCTGAGTCTTGTCACTTTCAAATCACAACTGGTATCCCTGAGGTAAAAGGAAGAACTACCTGGATCCCCCACAGACTCAAGTCACTGAGATCAGCTTTCATAATAAGGCTGGAAAGTCTTTAGTCATTCTTCCTTGTCCCCCAGGACCTTCCCTGACACCTTTGTCTACACCAGGCAAGAAAACAAATAACGACATTCAAATTGGAAAGGCCTCAGCCTGCTCAGGAGGGTTTCCAAGTTGAATGCCTGTTATTAGTTTTTCTTGCCTGGTCTCTCTGGCTAGAAGCTCAAGTGCAATGTAATGGTGCTGACAATGGCACGCTTGTTTTGTTCCTGATTTTAAGGGAAAGGTTTGGTCTTTCACTATTAGGTATACTATTCGTTTTAATTTAAAAATAAATAAATGCCCAATATCATCTTGAGGATATTTCTGTGCATTCCTAGTTGGTGGAGTGTTCTTATCATGAGAAGATATTGGATTTCGTCAATGCTTATTTTTCGGTATGTTTTGTTCTGTTTTATGGTGGTAGTTTTTGGCTCTGAGATTATTGTGGAGTTTTTTTTCCTTATTCTGTTAATGTGCTGTTTAAAATTGTTTGGTTTTCATATGTTGAACACACACTTTGGATTTTGTGATAGATCTCACTTGGTCATGAGATTGAAGACTCTTTAAAACATACGAGATCTTGTTTTATTTTTATGTGAAGTTTTTGTCTAGCTCTAGATCACAGTCATGCTGGACTTACAAAATGAGTTAGGAAGTGTTCCCTCTGGTCCTGTTTCTCGGAAGAACTCGAGAAGGATTCATGATGTTTAGTAGAATTTACAAAACTCAGCTATCTGGTCCGTCAAGGCTTCTCCTTCTTTTCTTTTCGTTTCTTTTTTAAGACAGGGCCTTGGTTGGCCTCAGACTCCTGGCTCAAGCCATCCTCCTGCCCCAGCCCAGCTTCATTAGGTTTTCCTTTGAAGGAGGTTTTAAATTTCAGATCCAGTCTCTCACTTGTTTTAAGTTCAGATTTTATGCTTCTTGAGTCAGTTTGTTAGGATGGATGTTTTTAGGAGATTTTCCTTTTCTCTAGGTATTTAGTGCGTCGGTGTCAATGTCCAAGTAATCACTTGCCATCTGTTTCTTACTGTACGACGAGTAGTAATGTCCCCATCTTCATTTCTGATTTTAGTGATTTGAGTTCTTTTTTCTTGATCTGTTTGGCGAATGATTTACCAACTTCATTCATTTTTTCCAGGTACTTTCTCTTGAATTCATTGATCCTATTACTTTTTATTCCTTATTTGTATCTTTTCATAGCTATGTATTACCTTCCTTCTGTGGCTTTGGTTTTGCTGCTGCTCAAGGTGTAAGTTTAGGTCATTGATTTAGAGCTTTCTTTTTGGGACCATCTTTAACTACAAATTTCCCTCAGAACTGTTTTCACTGCAACCCAAAGATTTTAGTGTATTGTGCTTTTATTTTAATTCATCTCATGGAATTTTATAATTTATCTTGTCATTTTTCTTTGACCCTTTGATTATTTAAAAGTACATTTTTTTAAAGAGAGAGAGAGAGAGAGAGAATTTTTTAATATTTACTTTTCAGTTTTCGGCGGACACAACATCTTTATTTTATTTTATGTGATGCTGAGGATCAAACCCAGCGCCCCGCGCATGGTGAATATGCTACCGCTTGAGCCACATCCCCAGCCCTAAAAGTACATTTTTTAATATCCATACATTTGTGAAGTTTCCAGTTTCCTTCTGTTACTGTTTTCTATTTTCACTTCATTGTGGTTGGAGAAAATCCTGTGTATGATTATTTATTTATTTATTGCTTGCAATTGGCAAATAAAAATTATACATATTTGTTGTGTACAACATTATGTTTTGAAATATGTACACCTTGCATAGTGGCCAAATCTAGCTCTTTCTTTACTAATTACTTCAATAATTATCTCTTTTTTTTTTGTGGGGCAACCCCAACTTAACCCATAATTTCACCCTCTCACCTCCATAGATTTATTTCCTTCTGGCATATAAAATACTCTACTCCAGACATTATTATTGCTGTGGGTATATACATGACTGCATGACCAATGTAATTCTGCAAACTGTACATTCAGAAAAAGATATCCCATCTGATTCAAATGTATGATATGTCAAGATCATTGTACTGTCATGTGTAACTAGTTAAAACAAACAAAAAAATACTCTACTCCAACATCTCCCCAACCCATTTCATAATCAAATTTAAATAGAAAATATTATTGAATGTCGTCTAAATCAGGTATGACACTCTGGATATGGTCAATCTTCAACAAAATTCCTCTCCATCTGTGAACCTCTGAAAGTAGACAAGTTATCTATTTCCAAAATGCAATGATGGGAAAAGAATAGTATAGAAGCTCACATTGCAAAAGTGGTAAATCAGAAGGAAGAGAAGGACTCCTCTGTCTCAGAGACGCCCAGAACTCAGCAGGCAAATTCCACTGGGTTTTCAGGCCTCAGAAGGATTCCCTGCATTTCCAGGCTCTGTTCTCTGAGCCAACAGGGATGGTGGCCACACCTTCTGGGTCCGCCTCAGTAGTGTCCCTGCCCTCTGGAACTGAGGAGGTGGGCCCACCCGGGGCCACACTCTCTGGGCCAGCGCCTGTGGGCTCGGTGGCAGAGGCAGGTCTGCTGCTGTCCTCTGCCCTCCTAGGTCATTCCTCCCTTCTCCTCAAGGACCAGGCATGTTATCGGCTGAGTAACTCCACCAGCGGCTTCCTGCCTGCAGAATCACACAAGTGTGACTGTCTTCCTTCATCTCACCCCACCTCTGTACCCTGAAGTCCACATTGGCAGAGCTTCTGCTGGGACAGCTCTTTGGAGATATACCTGCTAAATTCCAGAGCCCGGACCTCCAAAAAGAACTCAAAGGGTTGAGGTTAAGCAGCTTTCATCACCATAGCTGGAGAGGTAACTGTGTGGTTGGAGGCTGAGGACAGTGGCGGGCACAGAAATGTACCGCCCAGACCTCCCGCTGCTCGGAGGTGAGTGATAGACACCACAGCTACTGTCCCCTGCACCCTCCCCAATGTATTCACCAAGGCCATGCAGGGTGCTTCCAGCCAGTGACTGAGTGGCCAGACACACCACCTCCTGGGACAGGGGGCTCCTCTGATAGGTGACCTCAGTCAAAATACTCTTGCTCAATCTGGCTCACATTGGGCCTTCTGACACCTTTTCTTTTTCTTTTTTAAATTCTTTTGTTGTTGTTGTAGGTGGGCACAATGCCTTTATTTTATTTGTTTTTATTTTTATGTGGTGTCAGGGTTTAAACCCAGAGCCTCATGCAGGCTAGGCAAGTGCTCCACCACTGAGCCACAACCCTGGCCCCCCCACATCTTTTCTTTATAACCCTTCTTCATCTCCTCCCTCTGCCCCCCAGGGAGTCCCGCATGGTGGGCTGACGGTTCTCCTTGAGGTCTTTGTCTTCCTTCCATTTTCCCTCTCAGATATCCTCCCTAACACACTCTTGATTCTAGAATCATATCTGAACATTTCTTTTTAGGGATCCCAAACTAACTCCTTTACCTACACTTCTGGAAATGACGAGAAGGAGGGAGAAGTGGCAGAAAGTGGGCAAAGAAAGAACTTTAAAAAAATTACTAACAAATGAAGAAGGTAATTAGATTTCACAAGAAACAGTAAAAAATCGAAAATAAGATCCAGGTACGGTGATGCACACCTATAATCCAGCAGCTTGGGTGGCTGAGGCAGGAGGATCCCAGAGTCAAGGTTAGTCTTAGCAACTTTACAAAACCCTCTCTTAAAGCATGAAAAGGGCTGAAGGCGTAGCTTAGTGATAAAGTGTCCCTGAGTTAAATCCCCAATACTGAGAAGGGTTGGGGGAGATACCCATTTTATGTAAATGACAATATTTGTAATGTACTTAAAATTGTTATCCCTTGATATTATGTGATTATTATAAAAATAATAGATGGCAATTGAAAACATGATAGGGGATAAGAAGTTTTTCAAAATTTGTTTATTTGTTACAGACACTAAAATTTTGGAAGACCACTTTCCCAGACCTTTGCTACCATTAAGATCCTTTAAGAAGTCAGAGGCAGAGAGTTAGAAAGTGAGGAAATCTGAAGCACTTTATTCCTAAGAAGCTTAGGGGCTCAATTCCAAGCTAAAAGTCAGGGCAGCTGAGCTGAACCACAGAGAATTCTTTACTAATTAATTATGCTTAAATGTTAGGGCCTAACATACTCTAGAAACTATGATATGTCCTGCTCCATTTCCAACCCAAAGTTCCAAATCTAGTCCTAAATCATCAAGTGGAAAGACCACCAATACCAATACCAGAAAAATAGTAGCAAAAACAGCCTGTTCTTCAACCCTAGGATAATGTGCTTGCCCTTCATGAGAGCCAAACCCAGAAAATTTGATTCCAAGGTGTTTCTGGATTGATTAGGGAGAATCTGAGTGTCAGATAAAGAGAAATCTATCAGAAAAACAAAAGTGCAAGAATTAATAAAAATCCAATGTGAAACAGGAACTGCATGCTTTTTACAGACCCTAAGGGATTCCCCAGTAAGGTTGAGGGGTGGGGTAAAGAAGAGAAGGAAGGAGATCCAGAAGCCCCATAGATTTTCATGTAGTTTTAAATATACACTGTGCTATGCTTTGGATGTGGTTTGTGTGTGTGTCTCCTGAAGCCTGGTCTCCAGCGTGGCGATATTGAGAGGTGATGGTCCCTTAAAAGGTAGGGCCTGGTGGAAGGTAACTCGATGGGAGCAACACCTTTAGAAGTAATCAGTGCAGGCCTGGTGGGGCCACACTACCTCCCTCAAGAGTCGCTTGTTCTAAGGCAGCCAACGACTCCCTGCATATTTCTTCTGCATGTACCTGTGCTCCCACCCCAGTGATGCCACTTGCCATGAGGCCCTCCCTAGAGCCCAGCGGATTAGGGGCATGCTCCTGAATCTCATGCTGGGGATGGAACCCAGAGCCTCATTCATACATGTAACAGAGAATGGACTAAAGACCTGGGCTTTTATTTCTTTGTCTTGTTTTCATATTAATAAGCATTTAACTTTTGATAACAGGAAGGGCCTGGAAGAAGCACAGAAGAATTGGAGACTAGTTATCCAAGTCAGAGGCTGTGGCCCACTGTCTTCTCAGGATTGGTTAAACAGGGGGTTCCACCTAGGGAGAGAAGAACCAGAAACATGGGGCGATGCACGCCGTCGGTCCTGGGGATGTGGCTTTCCATGGAGGTCCACAGTGGCCTGAATCCTGCTAGGTCCTCCCCTCCAGAGCTCTGAAATATGCCAAAAGGAAAGAGGGCCGGGTGTGAGGGGCTCTAGACATGCCCGACTAAGGCCTTGTGACCTCCTGATCCCTGATTAAATGTGAAGAGGAAAGTGCTTCAATATTACAAACTCTAAACGGGGGAGGGAAGGCCATGGAAAAGAATCAGCCTAAAAATCCAGTAAGGGCTGAGGAGCTTAGAGGGAGCGCAGGGCTTGTCTCGTCCAGGTGTCCTGTCACACGGAGGAGACTCTGATGCCCACTCCGCGAACGGAACGGAGCATTTTCTGCGGAGGTGGGTCTGTTGGGGCTCCGGGTCCCATCCGGAGGACGGATCTCTGCACCAGCCTCCCTCTAAGAGCTCGGAAGGACGGATACCTAGCGCACGCACGGACAGTCCTGGACCCCAGGACAAGCTCACCTCAGTCCAGCGTGGGCCAGGGCTGCATGCACTGCTGCTGGCACTGGTAGAAGCAGCACTTCTTGGGGCCGTTGCAGCCTCCGTCCCGCCGGCACCGGGGAAGCAGCGTGAAGGAGCAGGAGAGAAAGAACTCCGGGCAGTACCCAGATTTCTGCTGAACTGTTGGAAAGTGCCACCGGGTGCGTCTGGGGACACCGACCTGTCGCTCCCAGGCACAGGCCCCAGAGGAGACGTCGCCCACCCCGGACACCCCCGGGACGGCCACGCCTTACCTTCCTTCATGTTGGCCTGCGCCACGCGGAGCCAAAGGAGGGCGGCCACCGAGAGCAGGGAGAGGCTGCTCAGCTTCATGGCGCGACAGACAGGCGCCGGCGACCGGCAGCGGGCCACCGGCAGGGGGTGCTGTGACCGCGGGGCAAGAGGTCAGGGTGCTGCGGGTGGCCTGCAAAGGCCACTGTCGTCTTCTCACCCCTGGGGAGGACAGTAAGGTAACCTCTGGGGTGTAACTGCAGGGAGCCCGCAGGGACGGTCCCCTCTTGAGGCAACCAAGGGCTTTGAACAGCAGATTTGAGGCAATAGCCGGGAATAGTCCTTCCCCGGCCACGCCTCAGGCCGGCCAAGCCCACTCTGCTCCCAGCCTATCCAGGAGGATTGAAGCCCGCCCCTTCCAACTCTGTTCACGCGTGGGGTGCGTTTGAGGTATTTATGGGTCAACTTTCTACCACCCCCCACACCATCCCAAGGACAAAGCTAGATAATGGGCTGTGAGCAGCCTGCTGCCAGATTAAGAAAAACGCCAATTCATTGTGCGTCGTGGGTGCATAATTAATGTTTTATTCCTTAATCCCTTCCTTTGCATCTCCATGAATGTGCAAAACGTTCATTTGCTGATAAAGTCAAAAGTCTAACTTGAGGTCATTTTGAACGTGAGCCCCAGGACAAATAACTCTTAAGCCCCTCTCTGCACTCCTATAAAAAGGTTGAGTTGTTCCTGCTTGGTTGGTTGCCTAGAACATACCTGTGTAAGCAAGGCCACGTAAGTACACACACACGTGTACACACACACACACACACAAACACACACACAGAGTTATTAATGCACCCAGAGACTTGGAACCTGACATAAGAGGCAGAGGTTCCCTGGAGCAGTTACTACATCTCTTCTCTTTCTTTCTGGTGCAACCTTATGCTTCCTCCCGGCCTGGCGTCTTTTGGCTGTGCCTTTGTGCTTCTCTCTTCTAGTTCTGGGCTGCCCTGCCCTCGCTGAGATGTAGTCCACACTTAGAAAATAAATGAAGCTCCTTCCTACCTGTTTTACATGCCAATAACTTCCACTGTTTCCACTTTTATTTTCAAGATGTGTGCTTGCAGCTCCACACACTCAGATCTTTGTTTTCAAAACAATTTGACATTCATTGCAATTTTATGATACCGAAGTAGGGGACACGAGTATTACATGAAACTGTATCCCAACCTTGCTATAAGTATAAAATTCAAAATCCCAAATGAAAATTTACCCAGTGGATTTTGTCATATATAAAATAGTGGCATATCACAAACAATTAGGGGTTTATTTCAACAATGTATGACTGGTTTAACATTCCAAATTAGGTCAATGAATATTTCCTATTAGAACATGGAGGGAAACCTGATTATCTCCATATCAGACACAGAATAGATGAAAAAATCATTTTTCTGTATATGATATAAATGAGAAAATAATGACACAGAATAAGAAATTCAATTATTTAATGTGATAGCCTCTACAAAAACCCTACAAGTGGGAAGCAATTTGGGGGACTAAAATCTGCTTATCCATCAAAAGTCTTGAGAATATTAGCAATTCTTAATTCCAATGATGTTCTTCATAGAAATAGAAAAAGCAGTCATGGAATTCATTTGGAAAATTAAGAGGCCCAGAGTAGCCAAAGCAATCCTTAGCAAGAAAAGTGAAGCAGGAGGCATTACAACACCAGAATTTAAATTATACTATGGCATGGTATTGGCATCAAAATAGACATGTAGACCAATGGAACAGAATAGAAGACACAAAGACAAACCCACATATACATAGTTATCTCATACTAGACAAAGGTGACATAAACATACATTGGAGAAAAGATAGCCTCTTCAACAAATGGTGCTGGGAAAACTGGAAACCCATACGTAGTAGAATGAAATTTAACCCCTATCTCTCTCCCGGCACAAAACTCAACTCAAAGTAGCTCAACGACCTAGGCATTAGACCAGAAATCCTGTGCTTCCTGGAGGAAAATATAGGCCCAGTTCTTCATCTTGTCAGCTTAGGAACTGACTTCTTCTTCAACAAGACTCCTAGAGCACAAGAAGTAAGATCACCAATCAATAAATGGGAATGGCATCAAACTAAAGAGCTTCTTCACAGTGAAGGAAAGAATCAAGAACATGAAGAGAGAGCCTACAGAATCAGAGAAAATCTTTACCACATGCACCCTCGATAAAGCATTAATCTCTAAGATATATAAAGAACTCAAAAAATTTAATACCAAAAAACCAAATAACCCAATCAATAAGTGGGCAAAGGAATTGAACAGAGACTTCACAGAAGAAGAAATACAAATGGTCAAAAAAATATATGAAAAAAATGTTCAACATCACTAGCAATTAGAGAAATGCAAATTTAAACTACACTGAGATTCCATTTTACTCTAGTCAGAATGGTAATTATCAAGAATACAAGGAACAATAGATGTTGGTGAGGATGTGGAGAAAAATGCTCATTCCTACATTACTGATGGGACTGCAAATTGGTGCATCCACTCTGGAAAGCTGTATGGAGATTCCTTGGAAAACTTGGAATGGAACTACCATTGGACCCAGTTATCCCACTCCTCAGCATATACCCAAAGCACCTAAAATCAGCATATTACAGTGATGCAGCCACATCAATGTTTACAGCAGCTCAATTCCCATTACCAAAGCTATAGAACCAACTTAGGTGTCCTTCAACAGATGAATAGATAAAGAAAATGTGGTATATACACAATGAAATATGACTCAGCCATTAAGAAGAATGAAATTATGGCATTTGCCGGTAAATGGATAAAACTAGAGACTATTATGCTAAGTGAAATAAGCCAATCCCAAAAAGCCAAAGGCCGAATGTTCTGATATGTGGGTGCTAACACACAATGGCAAGGTTTGAGGAGAACAGAAATTCACTGGATTAGACAAAGGGGAGTGAAGGGAAGGAACAAGGGATGGGACTAGGAAAGACAGTAGAATGAATCAGACATGACCTTCCTACATTCATATGTGAATACATGACCAGTCTGATTCCATACCGTGTACAACCACAAGAATGGGAAGTTAGACTCCATGAATGTAGACTGTGTCAAAATACACTCTGTCATGTATATCTAAAAATAAATTTTAAAAAATAGTTAAAAAATAATCTTGTCCAAAATAACCATTTCAGAACTCTAAACTAAATCAAAGCCTTGCCACAACCCATGGTGTTGACTGAGGGAAAAGAAGGGTGGTGCATCACCCCTAAGGAAGAGGGGAGTGAGAAAACACCATGTCCTGAATACTCCCATCTGTCCCCAAAAAGCTAGCCACGTTAAGGGAACAATGAGAGCCAGTCTGGGCCAGAAAGTCCAGATACACGTTATCTTGCAGGACACTGGCTCTCTCTTGTTTGTGCTGGGAACTAGGGCAAGCTGGTGTCATCTGTCCAAAGCCAGCTTCTTGCATGTCCACTGGGACAGCTGCTCCTTGGGAGCTAGTCACCATGCAAGCCAGCTAAGCAAGCTAAGGCTGCTGCTGTCACTGCCTTGCAGCCTGACATACATCCCCTCTCTGAGTGGGGACTGGTGTGGGACAGAGGACCCTGGAAGGGGTATGTGTTGCTCATCTAACTGGCTGCCGCTGGGCAAGATCCTGTGTGGGACAGAAGGGGACGCTTGGCAAAGCACCTTGAGGGACAGGGGAGCTGTCCTCCTCAAACCTTGCCATTGTGTGTTAGCACCCACATTCAACATTTTGCCTCTGAATTCTTCTTGGAACAGTCCCTGACCTGTTGTTTCCCCCAGGTGTCTCCCATGCGGTCTCTGGGTACTTTCTCCAACTCTCTGGCAAACTACCCTGCTGCCCTGGCACAGGGGGCTGTGGCTGTGACTGGTGAATCTCGTCAGGAATCTCAGCTTGTGGCAGTTTACTAGTCCTATTTCCTGTTGAGCTGTGCGGTCGCCATGAAGACCAGCAGGCTTGCTCTGTAGTAGCTGGGAAAACCAGAAACTGGGCAACCACTTCAGGGGAGAAAGGTTTCCTCTGGCCTCAAGTCTCCATGCTCCCCACCCCAAATTGTCGCTCTTTCAAACTATACGGCAACTCCCTAAAAATCCCCTCTCCAATCTTGCTCTATGTGGACAGCACTATCCCTGGGGAGCACTCTCTATATATACATGGGGAGGGGAAGTGAGATATATATATATATATATATGATTTAACTGAGGGGTGCTCTACCACTGATTTACCACTGAGCTAGTCCCACAGCCTATCTATCTATCTATCTATCTATCTATCTATCTATCTATTTATTTATTTTTGAGACAAGGTCTCAGTTGCTGCTGTTGGCCTCAAACTTGTGATCCCCCTGCCTCATCCTCCTTAGTATCTCAGATTACAGGCATGTGTCACCATGCCTATCCCTGGGGCAATTTTTTGACATCACAGCTACTTCAGCCTGTGAGATTCACTGGGGCTAACAAAAGAAAAGAGTGAAGAATGAGATGCGCAAAGGTTTTTGAAAATCTCCTATTGGCGGTGGAGGGTGGGGGAGGGGAGTGGGGGGAGAAGGCCACCTGCAGGTGTGTATGTTGTGCATTTGTCCCTTACTGTGTACAGGCTAAGGAAGGAATGAAGACCCACCTCTGCCTGAATTTCAGGATCTGGGCAACAGGAAGTGAAGGCCAATGAGAACCTGTTAACTGCTTGCTGGAACGTTGAAAATACGCCCCCAGATACACACAGCCCTTGAGAAACCCAGGTGATGTGCTGGTTCACAGAACTCAAGCTCATCCCCGCCCAGTCATTAGTTGCTAGCAAGCCAATGGAACCGACTGCAGTGGGTGCACATGAGGAATTATTCAGACTAATTTACAAAGTTGGTTCAGGAGAGTAACTAAACAAATGATCCGTAACAAAACGACATTAAAAAAAAAAAAAAAAACTCTGGGGAGAGGAACTTATTTCCCAGGTTGGCACATTGTATTGTGTAAAAATTTCGATTTCATTGAAAAAAATAAAATATGTCAAGAAACAAGAAAATTGCCCCTACACAGTGAGGAGGGGAAGTGATCCATAGAAACGGTCCTTACGGTCCTTACGACTTCCCAGACAGTGGACTCCTGCAGAAGGACTCTAAATCAGCTCTTGTGAATATATTCAAAGGACTAAAGGAAACTATGAACAAGAGGCTACAAAAGAGAGCAGGGCCGAGCAAGAGGGTGGGTAGAACTCTGGTGATGGTTTCCCCACAAAAACATCAATCTGAACAATTATCCACCCATGAAAGTACTTCCAGAGGAGGTAAGGAAACCAGGCAAGAGATCATAGCAACTGGTTGTAGCATAATAATGAGAAATGACCCACTGAAAAGATTAGAAGGGACA